TAAACTAGTGTGACCTTTTCATTACACAAAGACAAATCCCATCAGCCCCTTTAAAGCAGCCCATGTTATCGATGATGGGTCATCTAAACTTTTCAGAAAATGGGTTGAGGTCATGTAATAATTTCAGGATACTGCTGCCTTGTCGTTACTGCCCAATAATGTTGACCTACAGATGGAACCGTTTTGTCATTTGATATGAGCTAATTATCTTTGATCTTTGAAAGCACAGGCTTTCTCATCGCTCATCTCCTGAACTTCTGGATAGTTGCCCCATCCCGAACCGCTAAACTGTCTTTACTTTAGCAACAGTTACAGCAGAGTAAAGGACAGTTATATTATTCAACTGTTTGTTTCTAGGGAAGCATCTGTATTTCCCAACTAGTTGGCAGCGGTTGTGGTTGGTTGCAAATGCTGACTAACTACTATCTGACCACTAGCAAAAGTTGAAAACCTGAAACGGAGAAGTGTCACCTTCAATGTAAGAGCTGCATGCAGAAACATGTTGGCTGCTGCACAGCTTTGCAGGTGAACCTTCTGTTTCTGGTTTGTTTTGTGTTTTTCAGTTTCACTGCAGCTCAGAGAGAAGCTGCACAGTGTTTGTAGACAAGTGCGTCACATTTAGACTACCACAGCAATATGCTCGCAACCAAAGCAGGTTTGCACAATCAGTTGGGGAATACACATTTTCCCTGGTGACAGGTGGTTGTCAGGGGTTACCGACCAGACTGTAGTCCTTTGGCAGTCGTTTTCCCTTCACCTGGTTTCAGCCTGCAGCGACCACTTGTTACTACTCAGGGAATAAGGATTTTTCCCTTATGAGCAGTAGTTCCCAGATGGCAATGGGAATTTTATTTATGTAACACATGTCTTCAAAGGAAGTTAACACAGCAAAATAAAACGTATTTACTTAATAAAACACCACACAAACACTGATGATTGTAGGTGTGTGTGAACAGCAAAGGTTTTGAGTCTGTTGTTGAATGTTAGCACAAATGGAACTGATTTCAGGTCAGCAGGCAGCTTTTTCCAAAGAACAGGAGCGCAGTAACTAAAAGGAGCCTCAGCATGCGGATCGTAGGAGCATTTAAAAGACGTGAACCTGCTGACCTATAAACAGTGAGCAAGTCAGAGATGTACTGATAACAGCTTTATTTAATGACCCTACACAATAAGTCCAAAACAGCAAATCAGCCTGACGTGGTTAGTCACATGGGTAGTGGTCACATGTCTGCCAAACCTCAACAGAAAGAGCAAGACTGTATGTTGGCACATGAATACTTGTAATTGTACAGACACACATATAGATAGATACATATTCACTCATACATGTACAGTAAAGAAATCTTTTGTTTATTCTCCCTGTTGATGGTGTAACACGCCACACTGATGGTATTTATCCCCACAGCTGACCTGAAGTCACTTGTGGGTTGAGGCCTTTGGGTCAAATACAGTCAGTGTGTGTCTGCGACTGTGTATCAGACACACACAGGAGCCACATATTTCATGTATGTCAACTTGTGTCAACATCTGAAGCTAGCAGACCTTCAAATGTTGCACACACTCTCACACACACACTCACGCGTGCACACTCAGCCTCACTGCAGTCTTATCCTGCACCGAACACACACTTACCAGTTTAAAAGCACACGCAGAGATTGGGGGAAACTCACTCAGTGTTGGACACTGGGGAGTCAGAGGAAGAGATATTCACCATTACTGGTTTATTAATGAGATGGAGAGGAGATGGAGAGCGAGAAAACAGGCAGGAATGCGGGGAAAAGTCGAGGAGGGAGGACTCCGACAGATGAGACAAATCTGAGATGAAGAGCAGCTACCGAGGCAGCAAAGGAGGATGAGGAGGAGTGCATATGTATTATTAAATACCCAGAGTGTTAGATTATTTACAACAGCTGGAGAAGGAGGAGGGGGAGGTCGATACTGGCTCACCCACGCACTGGTAGGGACGCTCGCTCGCACTCTCAAGACGAGCAGGCGGCACAATCTGAGGTGGTTTGTGTAATTGAATGTCAGAAGCTATTAGAAGGAGGAAGGGCGGGAAAGTGTGTGAGAGACATAAAGAGGACAAACCAGTCAGTTTTTATTAAAGTTGGCATGTGAGTTTCAGGCAGGACAAACAAATTAAGGAGCATGTGAACAAATACACGTTTAGTGTCTTACAAGTGTAGAAATCGATTTCAGGGTTGAGGCACCAAAGTGGGATTATCACGTACGCCGTCATCAAGATTAAGTTTGCATCACAGACTCACAGATTCACACTTTCTGCCAGTGTTTTTGTTTACCTCCATTGTCTCGCCTTAGTACTGTTGATTGTGTCGTTGAATATATTAGAACTGTGGGAGGCAGCGCAATAACAGCAGAGCGCTGACCTGGGAAAACACAGTCCTCCCACATCTACATACTGTACGGACACACACTCCAGTGTGCACACTTTGGGAAAATACACACCATACACAGATGCCATATACGCACATATGAATACACACAGACTTGCACAAAACCCTGGCCCAAAAATAACAAGCGTGTCCCACATTGAGAGTTCACTGCAAATGGAGAAAAGCCAAGCAGCTTCCTCTCACGTGTTTGACTCTGTCGGGAGCTCTGTCACACTTATTTTCCAACTTTTCTTTCTGTCTTTCTTCACCGCTCTCATGACAGCCTCTTTGGAAGAGTTGGGCCAAATGAGACTGCGCTGTTAAAGCATGTTGGATCCCATTTGGTCAATAATGTGATAATCTTTGGAAAGGAAGTTCAAATCTCCTAACTCCCTTTTTATATTTCATTTTAAGACTCTTATGGTTCGTTGGGCCAGTTGGCTCTTTTCTGGTTGGTTGTCTGGTTGATTAATCTGTCTTCTTGTTTGAATGACTGGGCAGTTGGTTGATTGGTCTGGTTGGTCTCTTTGGTTAGTTTGTTTTTTGGTTATTTGATTGGTTGTCTGGTTGATTATTCTTTCTTCTTGTTTGTTGGCTGGTCACTTGGTTGGTTTGTTTTGTTTGACTGATCATAATAATCATTCTGTGTGTTTGTGCGGTTGGTTGTTCTGGATTGTCAGTCTGTTTTTATGTTCAAGTAAACGACTGACGCGTCCCATTTTCATGTTAAACATCCGCTATTCTTTTCCAAAGTTGCATAATCTGTTTACAGATTATCAGTACAGTCTACAGGTGTGCAAGAGCTAAACAGTTATATCAAAAAACACAGTTGAACAACAGATATTGGAGTCACGGTCCTGGGTTGGTGGCCCAGTGCTTTGA